AGTTTCCAAGGAAACTTTCCAAAACTTGCCTACCAAAGTCACAGCAGCCAAAAGAGGAATACAGAGATTTTTACACAAAATTCCTTAGGTCAGAATCGACACATGGCAGCAGAGAGGGTATGGAGAATAGGACAAAAAAGTTGGTGGTCCAGCTGGAAATCCTACAGAGCAAGGATGACTAGTCATACGAGAAACGGATGACTAGTCATACGAGAAACGGATGACTAGTTATACGATAAACAGATGACTAGTCATCATTTTATGAAATCAATTTAGTGCAATGTGATGTAGTGTACAATTTACCTTAGTCAATTTGCTTGAACCTCCATAGGATAGTTGTTAGTTAAGAACACCTAGAGAAGCTATTCTTAATCTACACTTGAGCTTGATAAAAATAATAAAAATTCTATTACAAAATTGTCAAGGGAAGCCAAAAGAAATACTCAAAATGCATACATTAACAAGATGAAGATATGGAAGAGAGGAAGCTTCATGAATTTTTCTCATGGAATAGTACGATGCGTCTTATGATTTATTTATGATTATTTTATTTTTGTTAGGGTTTAGGGATTAGGGTGCGAGTGTATCCAAACAGATCTGATATCATGAAGGGTATTTTAGTATATGCAAAAGTCCTATTACATCCAATTTTAGGTGTTTTTTCTGGGATTTTTGGAGTTGTGTGAAACCATTTTGAAACCTGAGGAGGTGTTTGTGTAATTTCCAAGACCTTAGAGGATTTTGCGAAAACACGAAAAACCTCAAGAGGTATTAGTATAAATAACTCAAATTTGAGACAATTAGTCAAAGGATTAACTCCTCCCAACTTAAATCATAACGCTACAAAGCAGAAAGATCAAGGTGCAATGTGTAATAACCCAATCCTAAATAAATATTTAATTAATAAAATAATCAAGTAAAATACAATTTTACTTCGGAAATATTTTAATAGGTTTAAAAGTTGACTTTTTGTTCGGGAAAGAATATGGGGATTTTAGGTGTACCGTTGCGTAGAGCATGTCGTGATGAGTCTGTAGACATGTAGTGGACTCAAATCGGAGTTGTAACGAAGAAGTTACGATCAAGAGAAGTCTAGTGGCATAACCGTAATTTTTGCGAAGTCAGTTTTTAAAAACCAGATTTTCCTTTTCTCTCTCTCTCTCTCTCTACCTGCAAAACCTCTCTCCCCTCACGATGGCAGCACTCAGCCGACCACGTTTTGGCTAGCAGTTCTCTCATCCGGCCACCAAATTTGACGGGGCCCGTACCAAAATGATCGGGCCACCATCCTCTTCCAGCCCCACCCGTCCCCCGCCGCAGCCCGCCATCGTAGTTGCTAGAACAGCCTAGAATCCGGCCGGCTTTTGGTGAATTTTTCTCAAGCTCGTTTGAACGCTTACGGCAGCCAAATCGTGCGACCCAACTATGCTTTCTCATCCTTTCAATGTGTTCTAGCTGTTGGTTGTGTGATTTAGGAGAAATTTATGCGTTTTGAGAAGTAAATAAGCGATGGAAGCCCACCCGTTCCCCGCCGCAGCCCGCCATCGTAGTTGCTAGAACAGCCTAGAATCCGGCCGGCTTTTGGTGAATTCTTCTCAAGCTCGTTTGAACGCTTACGGCAGCCAAATCGTGCGACCCAACTATGCTTTCTCATTCTTTCAATGTGTTCTAGCTGTTGGTTGTGTGATTTAGGAGAAATTTATGCGTTTTGAGACGTAAATAAGCGATGGAAGTTTTGGCCGGTTTCCGCCTTCGATTCCGGCCACTTCCAGGGACTTTTTGGGGTAAGTCCAAGAACAAAAATTGCTCCACTCTATGTGCTAATCATGTAGGTATAAGTCTTGACAAGCGGTTTGGAGAGTTTCCGATCAATTTGGTTACCGTTTGACTGTCGATAGAATATCACATATTAGGCGTTATTCAGGTTCGATAGGTTAGGACCCTTGAATCGACTTGATTTTCAAATATGTTGATCTAGGCACCTCTAGGATCGTGTAGGAATTCGCGGATCTAGAATCGGAGTCCCGGATACTCTGATTTAATAATTCAAAGTTTAGTTTAACGATAACCGTCCAATCGCGAGTGATCCGACCGTTTGATTCGGACCAAACTGGCAGGACATGTTTATTAAACCTCATTGAACCTATACAAACTTTCGGATCGGAAATCGAAGGTTGTGGGCATTGCGGGCTTGGTTGACCCAATTTAGAAAGTTTGACCACTCGGTTGACCAAGAGTCACCCGAGGTAGTTTCATCATTCGAGAAGTGAAAGAACAATCTTATAAACGAGGCTTGACTGTTATGGGAATTATTTTGATTATGGTTGGATTTTTCAGAATTGTATTATAGTATTTTTGGTATTTCTTATGTTATTTTTTATATTCCAAGTTTGTGCATTATTAGAGTGATGGAATCTTTTGGAATTATTTATTTAGTTATTTATTTATATATCTACTTATATATTTATTATTATTATTGGGATTATTATTAAGGTATCGGATTGAGTGTTAGTGGATGATTTATTGCTTATGAGTTTTAATGTAATCGTTTTTACTTTCTAAGGATATTATATTATGCTTAATTGTGTAAAGCTAGGAACGGCTTATAAATTGGTTTGGAGTGGACGAGAAATTAATTAAATATCTTATTATATGTTTAAATTTAATATATATACTCAGTGGCTTGAAAATGATGAATCATGGACTCTAGTTCTTAACAGAATGTGGTATATATTTTAAATGTAGTTGAGAACTGGTTTTTTGAAAGTTGATATAAGAGTTGGAAAATGGATTTGTGGAATAAGGGATAGTTTATGATAAATTTCAGAAAATGGTTTCAAACCCACCACGGGAGTACCCCTCAGTTGCCTTTGAAACAGTTTATTTTTATGGCAATGCCCCACGAGTCTCGGGGACGTCTGAACCGTGTGGAGAGAGGATGTGCGTTCTCGGGCTGACTACATGTCCCCCGAGTTCGACAAGGAATGCGGCTTGGGTTGACTTTGTGTTACCGAGGCCTGCGAGGATGTGTCACGTTATGTGCCACAAGGAATTGACGGTATATTATTGCAATTGACGGAAAGATTGGGGAAATTGACGGATCAAGAATGGGGTATGCCTGGGCGGAGAATATTTTGGTTTTAAAAGGTTTAAACTAAAACTGATGATTTCATCTTGGTATTTTCGAGTACAAGTTTTAATACTTAATTTCTGATTTTATGAGACAAGAATTAAAGATTTCCAAGTTTTAAGGATTTTCTACAAATAAATGCTATTTTATTAATCTTATCTTTTCCCTACTGTTAAGTAATATGTTAATTATATATATATATATTGTTTGAGTTTCAGCGGATGGAAGAATTACGTATGGCTTGATCCCTTTGTAAGGGGACGTAGGCAACCTAGAGTTACTAGGTGCAGCCTTAAAATCAAGTGCCGAAAATTTATTTAGTTGGGTTTTATTGGAAGTTGATTAAGTATTCACGGTATTCTAAGAGTTGAGTTCAGTATTAGAGGGTGAAATGTTTTATTTAAGTATTGAGGCCTGAGGCCATTCAAATTATTTGTCTAATGCCTGCTAAACGATTGTGGATATTCGAATTGAGTTTTGTATAGGTAAAAACTTTTGGGAAACGAGCATTTCATAGGGGAGACTGCCGAATCTTCAACAGAAGTCAAACTTGAAAAAGAATTTTGAAACTTTTAAGGGCATTTTGGTCAAGAGTGCCCAGCACCTGTCAGGTGTCGAACACACAGGGTTCGGCACAGATTTCAAAGTGGAATTTGAGTCAGGTCCTGTCACAATGAGATAGCAGGATCTAAGAATTCTCTTTTCAAAGCAACAAAGGATTTCAATGTTGGAGCAAAGATGGAAGAGATAAAGATATGGAAGAGAGGAAGCATCTTCGATTT